GGGCCGCTGTAGCGCAGTGGTTATAGGGCCGCTGTATGCGCAGTGACGACGGTAGAGCGGCACCGAGACGGAGGAGCTAGGCGTGGGTTCGAGCCCCGGGAAGCTCATATAATATCTCGGGTGTTGCTAGTGGACGGCGCTTAGTCACCGTCAAAAAGGTGGTGCTTTCAGCATGGCCTTGGGTGTGTGTCCCTAAACACTCTGGGGGGGATCTTAGGGTCTGGGTATGTTAAGGTCATGGCGCTGTACTATTAGAAGTACTTACAAGTTTCCAATTCCATCTGCTATTCACTATCGTCTCTTAGAGCTAAACTCACCACTCATAGATGAGAAAAATATAACTCAGTACTCACTGCAGTGAGTGATAGAGTGCGCATTTTCTCGTCGACGAAAACGTGAAGTCATGGACTGACAGACGGACGGACATGACGAGCACAATGGGGCATTTTTTCCATAAATGAGAAAATGCGCTAAAAAGCCGCCACGTTTTCTCTTTGGTATTACCGCCCTTGTTCCCGTAACAGTTCCTTCTCTGCTTTACCTCTTTGTTGTTAAGGAGACTATTATACTTATTTTTGGGTGTGAATTTTAATCTGTAAATTGCTAACCTTGCTTTGAAGTCAATTTGTCACACCACATCTTTTCTCTGCACAAACTTTTCTGATATTTTACTCTTAAAACTATGTTTTTACTTATAAAATAACACTTTCACTTCTAACATCTAAATTTATTCATAATAATTCCTCAGTGAATAAATTTTTTTATAGCTTCTGCTTATAAATTTCAATGCGTTACTAACAAAATAAATTTCTTGTCCAAAACGATTTCAAATTGACGTGCATTTGCTTAACTCTCTTAGCCAATGCCTGCTCATTAAGGAATAATTTTCCAATGTCAACGGACAAGTGTAATTATTTTATTTAATTATATTAATTATCCTGTTTCGTTGCTTTTCATTAAATTGCCTCGTAACCGCCACACTAACCGCTGTCGCTTTCCCCTCGCTGCTACTGAACTGCTGGACTACAGGACCTACTGCCTCAGGTGAGATCCTGCCTGAGTTTTCCCGTCTAAGGGTACGCACACAGTGAAAGCAGGTTGCCAGCGTGCTGGTTACCTGCTCAGGCTGGCGCCTGAAACCATAGAATACAGAAGCCTATTTGTACAGGTTTTCACTGTGAACACTTACATTATTATCCTATGTTCATTCTTGTGGCAGGTTGGAGCAGGTTGCCCGCGCGGGCAAACCTGCTTCCACTGTGTGCGTACCCTAACGTCGCTCCAGCGTCTAAATAGCTCTTTTGGAGACAAAATCTTGATTTTAATCCCTTAATAAAAAATTAATTTGTGCTTCTTAAATAATTTTACATTGTCAAATTAATGTAAATTTAGTACGAGAAATATTTGTGACAAAATATCTAATTTATGTACGAATATACGAGCAATAATGCAATATTTGTGCAGCTAGTGATATTTGTGTAGCTAGTGTTGCTATGGCTAGTGTAATTCATACAAACTCAACTGACCTAAACCTGATGATAGTATCGCTTTTATCTAGCTTCCTATATCACAAGCTAACCATGTAGGTATCTACCTTTAGAGTTTTAGAGTTTAGTTTTATTTCAACTCCAATATTATTCTTTATTATTGAGAATCCTTACTTTGCTTATGTTAAGAATTGTTTCTCAATAAATCACGTGTCCTGTCATTTATTAAAGTGATTAAACTCAGAGACCACTGAAGTTTGTGCCTTGATGAGCTCTAATGAAAAAAAATCCAGCGTCATCATAATCTCAGTGTTACGTTGGACATGTTCATGGCTGGTGAATAATCCACTAAGTTGTTTTTAAGCCCTAACCTTAACCCAACCAATAACCTGTGTTACAGTTGCCAATGTTGGCACTAGGTACAATTAATGTGCAATTTATTAATAATTACAGGACACCAGCGGGGTTAGACTCGAGAAGAGCACGCTGAGGCTGGAGAAGCTGCTATCTGCCAAAACTTTCCACATGCCTCCATGTCAAGTCAGGTAAGTTAGGCAGCCAAAAGATTTAGTCTAGGCATTTTTGCACCTACTTTTTTGCACCGTGTAATATCGAGAAAGTGGAAGGCAGAAAACTGTTAACATAAGTTAATGGCAGTACGGCAAAGCTATGAGAATCTATGTTCGTGTGAACCGCACTTCTTAAAATAAGTTGAAAAGCAAGTACCCTTGTCGTGTATCTATTCAGAATCTATGTTCGTGTGAACCGAATAAGTTGAAAAGGAACAAGACTTGTGTATCTATTCAGTATCTATGTTCGTGTGAACCACACTTCAGTTGAAAAGCAAGTAACCTTTTCGTGTATCTATTCAGAATCTATGTTCGTGTGAACCGCCCTTCTTAAAATAAGTTGAAAAGCTAACACCCTTGTCATATTTCAGCGCTAGTGCCGTGGCGCTGGTGGATCTGCTGCACGAGAGCCTGGAGGAGGCGTGCTGTAGCAGCGCTCAGTACGCCGGTCGTCTGGTGTGCACTGTACGCAACTTGCTCACGCTGTACCTGAGCGTGGCACCTGTTGCGCATGCGCATACCCTCGACACCATACCCCAACATGCCGGTCTGTTGATGTCGTGCGCTTAGTCTTATCTTAAGTTCAGAGTTGACATACCCCAACATGCCGGTCTGTTGATGTCGTGCGCTTAGTCTTATCTTAAGTTAAGAGTTGACATACCCTCGACGCCATACCTCAACATGCCGGTCTGTTGATGTCGTGCGCTTAGTCTCATATAAAGTTCAGAGTTGACGAGAAACATATGTCATGTTTAGGTAAAATACTTTAGAAGCTAAGTGAGTTATTCTGATTTTTTTTATAATCACGAGGAGTTTAAGGGTTAAAGTCATTATGGAAATAATGGTAGTACAAAAGATGTTTTTCGTTGCGGGTAGTTAGTTTGATCACATGAAGCATTATTCTCAATTATTACTTTTTTGTTATAACAGTAAAATTGTTTTACTTTTCATGTGTGATCTGATTAATCTGGTGATTAATATAGAGGCGAATCTCTTCTGTCTTCATGTATCATGAAGTTAAAACGATTTAAAGGAATTGAATGATACACACGATTCTCAAGTATTACGTACATTTTCATTATCTTTGACTATACTTGGATACGCAATTTGACTCATGGTGGTTCTCGCGTTTAAAAAACGGCCTGCCTTGTGTAATAATTGATTCACCTGTTATTCGTATTCGTATACGCTATTTGAATCGTGGTTCTCATATCTTAAAACACTGCCTGCCTTGTGTAATAATTAATTTTTTGTGAATCTGATTTCACCTGTTCTACTTTCTTCCACATTTTTAGCGTATCAAAGGTATAATTTTTATTCTTATTACCAGCCTTGCTTCACAACAACAGCATGTACATCGCCACACACGCCTCTCTGCTGGGCCACCAGTACAAGAACAGGTAATGTTTTGCCCTAAAGTGCATGCACTGAAATCAAGTTGAACAGCTAAGGTGCCGTTACGAAATAGAAATGGCTAATGCCGAGATACCTACTCTAAGAAACTTCAGAAGATGAAGTGCGGAGCAAGTCATAGAATGGTTAACATTCTGAAATTTTGGAGAACCTTTAAAATTTATAATTTAATGCTATCTGATATTTCCTATAGCGTTGACTTCGTTCTACTCGTATTTCTGATTTCTGTCTCATAAGCCTAACGAATTATACTTAGAAAGCTTATCTATGTTAAGAAAAACCCCATTAAAATGCAAAAAAATTGAAACAAATTTCATTATTAATTCAATAACAGTAATTTTAAAATTTTCAGTGATTTCTGTCTCATAAGTTTAACGAAATGGTACTTTGAAAGCCTATCTATGTTAAGAAAGGACCCCATTAAAATGCAAAAAAAATTGAAACAAATTCCATCACTAATTCAATAACAGTAATTTTAAATTTTTCAGTGATTTCTGTCTCATAAGCCTAACGAAACAGTATTTTGAAAAAAAATTCTAACTATCTAAAGAAAAGACCTCTTTAAAATGCAAAAAAATTTAAGCAAATTCCATCACTAATTCAATAACAGTAATTTTAAATTTTTCAGTGATTTCTGTCTCATAAGCCTAACGAATTATACTTAGAAAGCTTATCTATGCTAAGAAAGGACCCCATTAAAAATGCAAAAAGATAGTGAAACAAATTCCATCATTAATTCAATAACGGTAATTTTAAATTTGTCAGACTGCCTGGCCCCCTGCGAGACGCAGGTATCACTAATTCTAAAGAAAATACCTCTTTAAAAATGCAAAAAAATTTGAAACAAATTCCATCACTTATTCAACACCATACCCCAACATGCCGGTCTGTTGATGTCGTGCGCTTAGTCTTATCTTAAGTTCAGAGTTGACATACCCTCGACACCATACCCCAACATGCCGGTCTGTTGATGTCATGCGCTTAGTCTTATATAAAGTTCAGAGTTGACATACCCTCGACACCATACCCCAACATGCCGGTCTGTTGATGTCATGCGCTTAGTCTTATATAAAGTTCAGAGTTGATGAGAAACATGTGTCATGTTTACGTAAAACTACATTAGAAGATAAGAGAGTTGTTCCGATTTTTTTATAATCACGAGGAGTTAAAGGGTTAAAGTCATATTGGAAATAATGGTAGTACGAAAGATGTTTCTTGTTGCGGGTAGTTAGTTTGATCACATGAAGCATTATTCTCAATTATTATCTTTTTATTAAAACAATAAATTATTTTATTTATCATGTGTGATCTTGTGTTGGCAATACTAGGTATGCGTCTTAAAATTTTTATCAAATGAAAAATTGGCTATACCGTGCAGTAATCCAAAATCCGTGATTGATAGACATCAATGATTAATATAGAGGCGAATCTCTTCTGTCTTCATGTATCATAGAGTTTAACCGATTCAAGAGCATTGGATGATATGTACGATTTTCAAGTATTACGTACGTTTTCATTATCTTTGAATATACTCGTATATGCAATTTGACTCGTGGTTCTCATATTTTAAAACACTGCCTGTCTGGTGTAATAATTAATTTTTTGTGACTCTGATTTACCTGTTCTACTTTCTTCCACATTTTTAGCTTAACAAAGCTACAATTTTTGTTCTTATTGCCAGCCTTACTTCACAACAACAGCATGTACATCGCCACCCACGCCTCTCTGCTGGGCCACCAGTACAAGAACAGGTAATGTTTTGCTCTTAAGTGCATGCACCGAAATGAGGTTGAAAACCTAAGGCGTCGTTATGAAATCAAAATGACTAATGCCGAGATAATCTAAGGAACTTCTGGAGACGAAGTGCGGAGCAAGTCATAGAATACTTTACATTGTGAAATTTTAAAAAATCTTGCTAATATATAATTGAATACTCTCTCACACTGATATTCCTATAGCGTTGACTTCATACATTTTCTGATTTCTGTCTCATAAGCCTAACGAAATGGTACTTTGAAAGCCTATCTATCTAAAGAAAGGACCTCTTTAAAATGCGAAAAAATTGAAACAAATTTCATCACTAATTCTATAACAGTAATTTTAAATTTTTCAGTGATTTCTGTCTCATAAGCCTAACGAAATGGTAGGTACTTCGAAAAAAAATTTCATCACTAATTCTATAACAGTAATTTTAAATTTTTCAGTGATTTCTGTCTCATAAGCCTAACGAAACAGTACTTTGAAAGCCTAACTATCTAAAGAAAGTACCCCATTAAAATTGCAAAAAGATAGTGAAACAAATTCCATCTGTAATTCATTACGGTAATTTTAAAATTTTCAGTGATTTCTGTCTCATAAGCCTAACGAAATGGTACTTCGAAAGCCTAACTATCTAAAGAAAGGACCCCATTAAAAATGCAAAAAAATTGAAACCAATTCCATCACTAATTCAATAAAGGAAATTTTTATTCCATAACGAATTATACTTAGAAAGCTTATCTATGTTAAGAAAGGACCCCATTAAAATTGCAAAAGATATTGAAACAAATTTCATCACTAATTCAATAACGATAATTTTAAATTTGTCAGACTGCCTGGCCCCCTGCGAGACACAGGCTCCTGTGCCCTGACGTTCACTGACCTAGCGTATGAGATCAGGCAAGCAGGCAGCGATGTGTTCTGCAGAGCCATGCAGGCGCACAAGAAGGCGCTGCTTGACACCATCGCTCAGGCACAAGGTGCCAATGCTTCGGGTCTTTTCCAGAATAACCATTAAATTATGATCAATTATGTTAAATTATGTTCATTATGTTAATTATGATAAATTATGTTCAATATGTTAAATTATGTTCATTATGTTGAATTATGTTCATTATGTTAAATTATGTTCATTATGTTATATTATGTTCATTATGCTCATTATGTTAAATTATGTTCATTATGTTAAATTATGTTCAATATGTTAAATTATGTTCATTATGTTGAATTATGTTCATTATGTTAAATTATGTTCATTATGTTATATTATGTTCAGTATGTTGAATTATGCATTATGTTCATTGTTATATTATGTTCATTATGCTCATTATGTTCATTATGTTAAATTATGTTCAATATGTTAAATTATGTTCATTATGTCAATTTATGCTCATTATGTTCATCATGTTAAATTGTGTTCATTGTGTTAAATTATGTTCATTACCGGTATGTTAAATTATGTTAATTATGTTTGATTATTTTCATTAGGTTAATTTATGTTCATTATGTTAAATTATGTTCATTATCTTCATAATGTTATATTATGTTCAATATGTTGAATTATGCAGTTGTGTAGTCAAGATTATTCTGCGAGTACATAGAAAATTTACATTTTACTGAGCATGTTGTTTTCCAAACGTGCCTCATCCCTTCATCTCAGATGGACTTGCCTTGCCCTGAGACCTCAATCATCCTCAATATTAATCAAAGATAAAATATTGCTGAAAATTTCATTATGCTTAAATTCAAAAGTTTTATTATTTTTTCTCCATTGTGCATTGCAAAAATTAATGCTTCTCTTGCTACAAATAACAGAATTTTTTGAAACGGATATGGTCCCGGTTATGAAAGTTTTTTTCAATTCTCTAGCATTCAAGTAGTCGGTTAGTAACCGCCGGAAACAAGCTAAATACACTAATCATAGATAAGAAAATAGAGCGTAAATACTTACGTTCACTTAACGAATTTTTAAAGTATAGACCCTGATGATTAAATGAGACAGCTCTTTTCTTGTAATGATATTCCCATCCTAGTTATTTAATGATGGGAGCTTAATAAATCTATCGTGTTTGAAGGGTTCGGGGAAGTGGCATCAGACGTCGGTGTACGACAGTGCCTGCAGCAGCTACAGCAGCTACGTAACGTGTGGCACGGCGTCCTGCCTCGCTCTGTCTACCACAAGGCTGTCGGTGAGACGTTGTAAATTAAATTTAAGTTTGCCTTGCCACACAAGACGTTGTAAATTAAATTTAAGTTTGCCTTGCAACACAAGACGTTGTAAATTAAATTTAAGTTTGCCTTGCCACACAAGACGTTGTAAATTAAATTTGAGGTTGCCTTGCCACACAAGACGTTGTACATTAAATTTAGTACCGTTCTTCTCATACCAATGTACAGCTACGTAACGTGTGGCACGGAGTCTTGCCTGGCTCCGTCTACCACAAGGCTGTCGGTGAGAGACCGCCTGTTTTTCCGTAACTCCTGACGATTATCATGTGCATACAGACTACTTACCCAGATTAGTCTTGCTAGGACCAAATATTTTTATAAATAGTTCTTTTCTTCAGGGCATGTAAAATAAGGCACATATTACGGTATGTTAAATGTCTACCACAAGGCCGTCGGTGAGAGACCGCCTGCTTCTCCGTAACTCCTGACGATTATCATGTTCATAAGACTTCTTACCCAGATTAGTCTTGCTAGAACCAAATATTTTTATAAATAGTTCTTTTCTTCAGAGCATGTAAATTAAGGCACGTTTCTACATGACATAATTTTATATTATGTTATATGTTTACCACAAGGCCGTTGGTGAGAGACCGCCTGCTTCTCCGTAACTCCTGACGCTTATCATGTTCATACAGACTATTACCCAGATTAGTCTTGCTAGAACCAAATATTTTTTTATGAAACGTTTGTTTTTTTCAGAGAATGTAAATTAAGGAACATTTTACGTGACATGATTTTATTTATGTTATTTGTTAATATGTGACAACTGAGATATTATTATTTGAAGTACCGGTAGTACCTTTGCATATTATATGTTGTGTAATTCTGAAATTGCAATGTAAGAAATAATGATTGGCTGACGAACTTACGATCTCTTAACTTTTTTGAAAGTATAGTGAACGTAAGTACTTACGCTCTATTTTCTTGTCTATGATTGGTGGATATTGCTTGAAAGGCCGTCAATGATTGGCTGATGAACTTACGATCTCTTAACTTTTTTTGAAACTATAGGCCCTGGTAGGTTCTTGGGCAGAGGCGCTGGGTGTGAACTGGCTTATATATGTACAGCGGGAATGCAAGGAAAGAAGCTGAGTGCTTTATGTGTGATAAGAGGGGGATGAACGGGTACATGTGGTGATGGAATGTGAGTTGTATGAGGCAAAGGGACAGGTAATGATGGAAGTTATTATGAGTAATGGAAGAAATGGGGTGATGTATCAGAAAATATGTGGAGAATGTATTGCAGTGATGTGGATTTGTCAGAGAGAGCAATTGTGGTTATCGTTAAAAAAATATATCGTTAAAAAAATATAAAATATCGTTAAAAAAAATATCGTTAAAATATCGTTAAAATATAAAAATATCGTTGAAAAAATATATAACTGAGTACTCACTGAAGTGAGTGACAGAGAGCGCTTTTTCTCGTCGACGAAAACTTGAAGTCACGGACAGACAGACGGACGGACATGACGAGCACAATAGGGCATTTCTTCCATAAATGAGAAAATGCGCTAAAAAGGGGTTCCTAACCATAAGGCATGAATGACCTGACAAAATTTCAAACTATTAGTCAGCGAACGACGAAATAAATCAACAAAACTCTTATTACATAATCCCATAAAATAAACATTAATCGTTATTAATGTTCATATTACGGGATTAATTTAATCCCCCATTAATCCCATCTTCGTTAAAGCCCTTTACATCGCTGTTAACATGAGGATTATTACTTGCCAATTATCAATTATAGATTGCTATTTATTATTATGATGAAATTGTAATTCTATTTCACATTATTTTGTAATTTGTAATATTAATATTATTAATATTAATAACGCTTAATCATCAACGAACTTCCGATCTGAAAATTAGTTCAACCGAAATGAAATGGGGTTAGTGATATGAAACGTGTGCGAATATTTTCAGGTAATGAAGCCTATGAACTTTACAAGCTTAACAAGCAATTTTTCACTCTACATATTCATCGATAGCTTTCATCGTCACCAAGTTTACGGTTTGACATCTGTAATGATTCCCAATAGGATAATAAAAAAAGTGAAAACATCTGAAAACATTTTTCTTTTCACGAGGCTCCGTTTGAAAGGAATAGGTTCTCTTGTGTTTACCGTTTAACAATTGCCTTTATTGATGCGAGTTAATTTACAAAATGATCCATATGTGTTTTTTTTTTAATTTTTATACGGTGATACTTTTCAGTTTGAAATTACTACAACAGAAGAACGTTTAGCGTCGTAGTAATTAGGATCAACATTAAACAGTCCACGGATATCACACATGTAATTTAACTACCTTTTGTGCTTCCGAATAAGCAAACCTTAAGCTTTCACTTACGCTATTGATTGCCGCAAAAATCTTCGTTGTGTAATCTGAGTATAAAACGTTTTTAAAATACTGGCAAAAGAACTTTATTTCATGTGGTACCAAAAGTTTTCCTGAAACTTGTGGCTGAAGTCCACCAAGAAGGCAGCTGTGCAAGCTGCCGTGAAGATCAGACTGTAAACACATCGGCAGATGCGGTGAAAGCTTTTAGCTTTTTCTCCGCTGTACGAAGCAGGTTAACAATTCATGGGAATTACGATGGTGCTCAGACTAACAATATTACTCGTGCGTCTTACATTGCACACATTAGCGCGTCTTACATTGCACACATTAGCGCGTCTTACATTGCACACACTAGCGCGTCTTACGTTGCACACACTAGCGACGCTCGACCGCTGCACGCTTGCATCATACAAATCAATAATCACAGGAGCTTTGGCATCCACAGCAGGAGTCCCTACGTCTGCAGCAACACACTGAAGCTTGATGATGAGCACTTGACGGTAGAGAGCAGGGGTCCGCATGACAAGCCGGAGCAGCAGGTATCACGGGACGATAGCACGGTTGACCGATCTCCTGTCCCGTCACACAACGCGGACAGCTCTACATGCCTTAGCATTCGTCCGAACAATCGAACATTTCATCATTCGCACTCGAGACGACCATTTTACCCTTGCGTGATTTCATTTTGATCTCTTTGGCATTAATAGGCGCCTCAGGACTGGTCCGTCGCAGTTTAAGTTTGGTTGCAACTGGTCCAGCCGCTGGCTTGGCTTCTTTCAAGCGCCTCGCCTTAGTCTTCGGCACTTTTCTTATTATCTTTTCGGCATCATTAGGCGCCTCAGGACTGGCCCGTCGCAGTTTAGGTTTGGTTGCGCCTGGTCCTGCCGCTGGCTTGGCTTCTTTCAAGCGCTTCGCCTTAGTCTTCGGCACTTTTCTTATGATCTTTTTGGCATCATTAGGCGCCTCAGGACTGGTCCGTCGCAGTTTAGGTTTGGTTGCGCCTGGTCCAGCCGCTGGCGCTACCCAGCGGCTGGAGGACAGACAGACAGACGGACATGGCGAGCACAATAGTGCATTTTTTTCCATAAATGAGAAAATGCGCTAGAAAGGTAAGAGAGAGTGTGGAAGCTGGTAGTAATAGTGTTTTGAGGAGTGTTGAAGAAAAACAGCATAAAAATCATTAAATTTTAATTTACACAATTACAAATATTTATACTTTTTTCAATTCAAATGTCAATGCTATAGACAGAGGTGATGTTATTGCGCTCTTAGGATCTCTCAGAAAATACGTTTTTCTGTAATTGAACATATGTGGCTAGTGTGCTGACTGTACTTAGTTGAAGTCTTCATACTCCCAGTTCTAGCCATAGGAGGGAAAACACTTTTTTTGTCACATCACTGTCTAAGACGGAGTGTTGTGGCAAGAAAGCTTATAAACTTACGATAAAGTAAGCTATTGTAATCTCTTGTTCGGAAAATTTTCCGTAAATAAAGTTGAATGTCAATGCATTAGATACGGTATTTATTTAAGGTTTGAGACGAGCCTTAAAACCTTCGTGCGCTTGAATTTCTAAGGATGACTCGTGTTCCTTTTCCTTCTTTGGTTGGAATCCAGCTCTACCTGTCAAATGATGTCGTGCAATTGTTGCATTGGCAGGAACTTTGCCGAACTCACTTCGTGAGCTTGAATTTCTAAGGATGACTCGTGTTTCCTTTCCTTCTTTGGTTTGAATCCAGCTCTACGGGTCAAAATGATGTCATGCAATTGTTGCATTGGCAGGAACTTTGCTGAACTCACTTCGTGAGTTTGAATTTCTAAGGATGACTCGTGTTTCCTTTCCTTCTTTGGTTGGAATCCAGCTGTACGGGTCAAATGATGTCATGCAATTACTCGTGTTTTCTTTTTTTCTTTGGATTGAATCCAGCTGTACGGGCCAAATGATGTCATGGAATTGTTGCATTGGCAGGAACTTTGCTGAACTCGGTGGTGAGGGAGCTCATCGACAGGACTCTGAGTCTCGAGGACATCTCCGAGACCTCGGCTCAGGCTCTCTGCGCTGTCTTTGTGCTGCTGGAGGATGGTGCCCCCAGCCTCTTCCCAGTCAGTATCCCAAATCTTCAAAAGTATCCTTAGTCAGTGTTTCTTATCTGTGTGCTTCTACGGAAATGTATTATTTTTATGAAAAGCCTTCTTGTCCAGTGTACCATATTTGCGGGCATTTATTTAACTTAAATGGGCATCCCATTTGATATAACACTACTTTGGACAGATTTTTAGTCTGTTCTACCATTTGTGTTGGGTTATGTCATTGAGTGTGTAATTTGATAATGCTTCTGGCCAGTCAGTGTAATATTTCTGTGGGCTTTTTCCCATTCAGTGTACCTTTCTGTGCTGGTCTTTTCGGTCCGTTTACCATGCTCTTTCCAGTCAGTGTATCATGTCTGTAGGCCTCTTCCCAGTCTGTGTTGGATTTCTGATGGGGAGGTCCAAGTTCAGTGTGCCTCAGGAGATTGGATAAAGTTGAACCATATTTTATTTGCAAACCTACCGATCACGTTATAGGAACTTGTTTCATCCGGACTTAAATGTTTCATTATCTAGCTATCTTCTGAAATTAAAAATTTCGTTCTCAGTTTTCCTACTTGGTAATTAATTAAAAGACTGGGGCACATGTGAGTTTTTTGTAAAAAGATTAGTTTTCGCGAAGCAAAGGATGCCTAATAGTTTGTGTTATATCCTGATACTCCAACAATCATTGAATAAATTACCCCAAAAAACTAATCTTAGAATGCTGACAAATTCAATAAATTCAATTTCTGACGCTGTGTTGTACCTTCCGTGTTATCGGACGAGCCACTGAGCCGTCACGTGCCAGGCTCCCCTCCTGTGACGAGGGAAGGACTATGTGGCGTGCGTCTGTGGGGCAAGTTCCTCGAGCTGAAGGTGGTGCTCAGCGCGAGCCTCCAGCAGCTGGAAGATCGCTGGGCGGAGGGAAAAGGTCCCCTGGCCCTATACTTCACGCCTGACCAGGCCAAGGGTCTCATCAGGGCGCTCTTCCAGAACACCGAGAAGAGGGCGCTTCTGCTCGCCAAAATTAAGAGGCCGTCTCAGTGAATGTCGTAGTTTCCTTTGATGTACTCTGAGATACTCTGTCCACGTCAACAGGCGCTCGAGTTTCCGTTGTTATGAATTGACTATTAAATAATATCGGGTGTCATGCAGACATTGGTCAAAGAGCTGTAACTACCTTTAGCTGATGCTTCTTGATCACAAAGCCACATCTGAGCAATTTTGGCGTTTGGAAAACTAAACTACGAGTAGTTCACCAACAACTACGTCCTCTGCTTGGTGCAGAGTCGCCACCCACTTTCGAAAATGGGGAAAAATTAATAACAGAAAGACAAGAAACGGACATCCCTTAAGATTTAACTGGCTAATTACCTGTTACCCCGAGCTTGGGCCACTGCTGGGTTCAGCTATACTGACAATCTCCTAAGGCACACTAAACTACGACCTTCCCAGCAGGAATGGGCCGCTGATTAGAAAATAAGGACAAAAATCTTTCACTGACTGGAGAGAGGCCTACAGACATGGTAAACTGTCTGGGAAACCCCGCAAACATGGTGCACCGAAAAGCTATACCTCCAGAGAGATGGGAACACTGACCGAAAAATTTGCCATTAACACGGTACACTGACTGAGATAAGGCCCAGGTATCAGAATTTGAATGTACATACACTTGCCGCTCATGAATTTTATAATTGAGCCTCGGGCATTGTCATCTTGATTTCAGGGGCCGGATTATCAAAACTTCGTAACTTTTTGTACTTACGACGAAAAAGTTCTGTGGTATGTAAATACACCCTAATTTTAGCATTATCAAAACTTTCGTACGCAAGTCTTAGCTAAAAGTCTAAAAAATTTCCCGCGCAAATGTTTTTATAATACCACCGCTAGTATTACGTTGTCATAGCAACGCCACTCGTAAGTCGATTTTGCGTACTTACGAAGTTTTGAAAATTTGCCATTAACACGGTACACTGACTGAGATAAGGCCCATGGGCCATACTTTCAAAACTCGCTAAGTGAACGTAAGTACTTACGCTCTATTTTCTTGTCTATGATTGGTGGATTTTGCTTGCGTGGCCGTCAATGATTGGCTGATGGACTTACGATCTCTTAACTTTTTTGAAATTATGGGCCCAGGTATCAGAATTTGAATGTACATACACCTGCCGCGCATAAATTTTATAATTGAGCCTCGGGCATTGTCAGCTTGATTTCTGGTCCATTACCGACGACTAGGGCATCTGCATGAACACTCCGCTAGCAGCGGTTTGAACTTTGATATGCATTAGAAATGTTTTTCCAGAAATGAACGGAAAACGGCTGCGCTAAACCTACGCAACACGACTACAAGAAGTAGATTAAACATATCAATTAGAAGTGAGAATGCTCGGATTTAGGAACGAAAATTTTTTCCGTTTATAATCGGATCACGGTGGATCTAGATGTAACTCACTCGACGTTAAGCAAATTAATTTTTTCAACAGAAAGTGTCCATGGACTATTCCTCGCTCTTGTTTTATGTTGCGTTATCCACGATGTAAATTAGAATACGATTTCTTGCTGAAGATCTAGTTTTCGTGTTTCCAAACTTGTAGTAATTTTCAATTCAATTCTGACGTCGATTTAAATGAAAAATGGTAACGTTCTTTCGCTTGTAAAAGCTCTCCTAGCTCTAGCCTTCCATGTGCAGGTGTTACCTATGGAGCTGACAAGTCATTTGTCTAAACTTGATGTACTTTGGTTCGGTTACTGAAGCGTTCGCACTCAAGTCAGTGAGTCGATTGAATTTAAATCGTGCATCGGAAGAAACAGGAAGTAATGCAATGTTCAGAATACTTACGTGCGGCTGTTCCAAGTCCTCTCTATAGAAACACGAAAACTGTAATTGTTTAGTCTCTTTCGGCGTCTGTTAACCCTTTTGTCTGGGATAAATTTACCGTCGTCGATGCTATTTGTACCTAATGGTTTGGGACCGAGAAGTCACGAAAGGGTTAAGGTAATATTTGCTCTAATGGCTAATTTTACGTTGGTATTAAGTTAAATCACTCAATATTTCATTATAGATCGTTACGTATTTTTCTAACATTGTCAAAGTGAATAATAATATGTTTAAAAGACAAGGTTTCGTTTTATTTAAGACCTATCCTTTTGATTACGATTCCTACTGTAGGTGACCTATATTGATTATTCTCATCCGATACAAGTTAATAATATAATAATGTGTTCAAATTTGACGTGTGTTAATCTTTTTTGTCCCGTTCAGATTTGAAGTGCCTAGCTCCTTATCAAACCCGTTGGAAGTCTAGTAGCTACTTCAAACTATCGTCAGTCATGAAATATTGGTCAAATGACACGAGTTTAGATCTATGAACAAGGCACGAAAAGGAAAAGATTCGGCGACAGGCCACATCAGGCCTACACTTTAGCGCCGACATCACTATGTTATGTTATGTTATGTTATGAGTTCGAGGCTCAAATCGTGAAGAAATTTTTCAGCAAATCGGAACGATAAACTTGAGCTGGAGGCAGCCAGTTCATGAACAGGAAAGAAAATTTTAACTCAATTTTCTGTAAGCCCAATTTCTTTACGATTGTTGCGTCCGTTGGAGTGGCTTTAAACGATTCTTAAAAAAACTTCGTGAAATTGAGTTGCCTGCTTTTAATGTTCATTTTAACGCTTCTCTTCGTTTTATATTAATAGTAACGTAATGCATTTTCCGGGCCGTTCTGAACAATGTAACGACTAAATATCGGTGTCTGACGACGCGAACGGAGATATCTGCCAAATGGTCTCCTTAACGTTGATCTAAATGATTATTTGCAACTAAATTGATTCTATGTAAAGTTGAACATACACGAGAGTACCATACAATTAGTGGTAGTACCGTTTTCTTCACTGCAGCCACCACTCGAGTACTATTTATATCCTGGACAACCCCGGCACTTCGAAAGCGCATTGCGGTGTCACTCGCGCTACGTGCTGCACGTGGTTTTGTAGCATTTTTCCTACCCAGCTTCTAGTTAAAGTAGTTAATTAATTATTGATTAGTTTCTACACAAGCAGCCATGCCTCCAAAGTTTGATCCGACAGCGATCAGTATTGGTAAGTCTTGATCCATTATTTGATTTAATTTTAAGCTGAGTTTCGCTATTGTTAATCAGTTTAATTTCATGTCTGTGCATAAAGCTCGAATTGATTTCATTTTCACTCGCGATCAACGTCTGATATTAGCCATCATACAATAATTCAAATTTGTTTTATGTGCAAAAATAATCACATTCATCCTATTGCAACCTTCTCATTCGGTTCACACTGCCTCCGTATGTTCTTTCGAACTAACTTTATTAATTTGGCACTCTTTGTAGTAGTTTCATTTGTTTGCGAGTTGCCACTGTGTCTGCATTCTGGTAACAAAAACTATATTAGAGGTTTAACGTCAACAAGTAACAAATGTTGATTTTAGACCTACGAAAATGAGTGAAATGCAATTTTTAACCTTATGATCAATTCGCGTCTAGTGTTTACCCTGTTTCGAATCAAAGTATGGAAGAAAGAAACAGCACAATTTTTATGTTTGTTCATCTGTATATATGAAGCCAGGTGCCGTAAATATATAGGAGCTGTTCTGGTGCGTATCGACGAAATTTATCTTGTCGAAATGTTCCCTGCTTATGTAATATATTATTTCAAGACAGCGCGGGAGAAGGATGAAATATGAGAATGAAATGTGGCTAATGGTTTTCAATTTTTACATAAAAGTGTATTCAATTAGCAAATATTTTTTTCAAATTTCAATCTCATAGAAAAATGAGAGTTTTATGCCCAATGTTGGAGTATTTTATTAAATGACGTTCGGTAGTTTCGAAATTATCAACTAGATACGGAATTTGGAAAGACGGTATTCAGAATGAAAGAAATCACTATGACAGGATGCACAATAACTGGATTTTCAATTGGTAGAAGATTATCTAAGCCAGATAAACCTGCTAACATTTATTTTGTTTCAAGTCTACTCACTCAGCATTGTCCTGACAAAAATCAATAACCATTGCACATTTATTTTGTTTAAAGTCTACTCACTCAGCATTGTCCTGACAAAAGTCAATAACCATTGCACATTTATTTTGTTTCAGGTCTACTCACTCAGCATTGTCCTGACAAAAGTCAATAACCATTGCGCATTTAATTTGTTTCAAGTCTACTCACTCAGCATTGTCCTGACAAAAATCAATAACAATTGCGCATTTATTTTGTTTCACGTCTACTTACTCACCATTGTCCTGACAAAAATCAATAACCATTGCACATTTATTTTGTTTCAAGTCTACTCACTAAGCATTGTCCTGACAAAAGTCAATATCCATTGCGCATTTATTTTGTTTCAAGTCTACTCACTCAGCATTGTCCTGACAAAAGTCAATGGGTTTTGCATTTATTAATTTTTCGTGGAATTTCAATTGTGTGTGCCCAGTGCACATGCGAGCGGTTGGTGGGGAGGTGGGGGCCACGTCAGCGATTGCCCCCAAAGTCGGCCCGTTGGGACTGTCACCCAAGAAAGTGGGAGAGGATATCTGCAAGGCGACGCAGGCCTGGAAGGGGCTTAAGGTAAGTTTTTTCTGGACGTAAATTCAGCGGAGGAAGAGATTAGTTACCGTTTGTGCTTGGAAATTTTAATGATAGTCCTACAGAAATTATGAATTAACTTAATCAAGAATTAATAGTTTCTGTATTCAAGCCGAGAAAGTACGAGTGCCTATATCAAGACGAGACAAAATTTGTGCTAATTAATTTTTTTGTATTAAAAATCTTCTGTCTACACATTGTTGGAGGCGTTCTCCCCGTTTTTTTTTCTTTGGTATATATAAATTTTTATTTTCGGCATTTAGTACGTAGCGGTTGTAACAAGGCAAACGTAAGAACAGACTTATTTCGGCGCGCTGGTTTCACTTGTTTTACAATGGTTTCAGATTATCCTGTTGGAGTTTTAATATTATATAATTAAGTACAACAACATTATTAAGAACTTTATTCCAGTAATATTAATAATTAAATATCAGTTAACCCTCTACCGCCTGACNCGAGTCGAAGTCGTGCCCACGGCGTCCGCTCTCATCATCCGCGCCCTCAACGAGCCACCCAGGGACAGGAAGAAGGTTGGTCCTACAGCTGAGTATGGCGTAGTATGAGGAGAGATATAAAAATTCTCAACCTACATGTAGTGACCTTAGTTAAAAATATCTGTTGAATAAATGTAGAAAATAAGCAATGATTAGTTAATGAATGCACTGCATCACGGTAATTATCAAACCTCGGGTAGTTTGTGATTTCTAGTCAATTATCACGATGCTGTAAATTCCGCAGTGGATCAGTCTTGTTGTCATGACACAACCTCCTAACTTGACAGCTTCAAAAATACTGTTGAATTCACACTGAATTCTTGAATTCACACTGAATTCTTGAATTCACACTGAATTTTTGAATTCACACTGAATTCTTGAATTCACACTGCATTCTTGAATTAACACTGAATTATTGAATTCACGATGATGACGTGACATATTTATGCGCATACATTGTAGGTGAAGAACATCAAGCACAAGGGGAACATAACACTGGAGGACGTCGTGAGCATCGCGCGCACCATGCGCCCGCGCTCTGGCGCTCGTTATTTCTCGGGGACCGTCAAGGAGATCCTCGGTACCGCCAAGAGCATCGGCTGTACCGTCGACAATCTTGACCCCAAGGAGGTGCAGGAGAACATCGACAAGGCCACCACTAAACTCCCCGACGAGTAAAGACTACAGCAGGTTCGTGTTGGTCGTAGTCTCTCAGGAATCAGACGACTCTGGGTAAAGATCTCTTTTCTACTTGGTCCGTGGTCGTAGGCTCTCAGGAGTCGGACGATTCTAAGTAAAGACGAATTTCCCACTTCGCACAGGTGTTCCAAAAGTTCCCATAAAAGTGACTCGCGTGTACAATTTTCGTAAGTATACGTTTGCATTGTTAAGAATCGTTAGTAGGTACGAGTAGATTGTCAAGAGGAACAAGACGAGGGTTGCGTGAAAGAGAAATGCCCAAATTTATAATTACTATAATTTATTTTAGAGAGCATGCATGCCAGAAGAAATAGTACTGAATGAGATTCTGCGGTTGAAGCGATATGTACCAGGCTTCATCGTGGTAGCGAACCAACCAGCCGGCCCAACAAACAGTAATCTTGGTAATCTTGGTAGTCCAAGGTTGCTTGGTACCAATCTGATTGCTTGTACCAATTCTTTACAGCGTTGGATTGGTCCTCGGGATTTTCAAGCCAGTCGACGTGGAATCGGTAAAGGGGTTAAGTGTGGAGGTAGGGCGAGCTCCAAGTTCGGTAAGGTGCTGGATCAGTCGTGTATACACGGCAATCCAGCACGGTCTGGGGACACCATGAATTGTAAACTGTGAGACGTTATTATTCGATATGCGGAGTCGAGCGACAATTTCGATGTCCCAGAATGTGGGCTAGAGTATAGATATATATAGTGTCGATTAAATGGTAAGGTGGTGTGACGTGTTCGCTTCGTACAGCTTTACAGTAACAAGTCTGAATTATGTACAAGTCTCCAGGACATATGTAATTAAGGGTCAAATTTGTGACTTACGTCTGCATGGGCTTCCAAGACAAAGGACAACTCTTCGTGGGATTATCGGCTCCAGGTTTGTTTTTATAAATAATTATCAATTGTGCACTTTTTACTCACATCTTTCATCGGGTTAGGTTAATATATTGGTCGGGGTTGGCAACCCATCCACCCTATTTGGGTATCAAAAAACCAAACTCGCAAGCATTTCCAGTTACCACATTCGTCTATATGTCAACTCCTTGTCTTTATTTTAAATTTTTGATTTTGTTCAGAAATTTGAAGTACTTTTTAGCGCATTTTCTCATTGATGGAAAAAATGCACTATTGTGCTCGCCATGTCCGTCTGTCCGTCTGTCTGTCTGTCCGTCCGTGACCTCAAGTTTTAGTCGACGAGAAAATGCGCTCTCTGTCACTCACTGCAGTGAGTACTGAGTTATATTTTTTTTTCTTAGAGGCTACACATGATATTATGGCTACATCAAGCGCATCAAAATATCTTCCTAGAACAACAATCATGACAGATAAATTGTATAGACGGGAAAGTTATTATATATATAGGCGAAGAGGAAGCACAGTTGCTGTGCGCACAAAACGAACGTCACACGGAGCGATGAAAATACAAATATATATTGATGTATATATTCATTCATGAATGCAATGTTTCAGGCACAATTTTCTACATGTGCACGAACACTTTATGATGCCGTGATACAATTTTTTCCAAAAGAATAAATATGTAGTGCATTTTTTATAGCGTTTGTAAATATTTCAATTCTAAGTTTAGGACAAAATTAAGTGTGAAAGCGCATCAATAAAAGACTTTAAATTCATGCACATTGAAAAAGTGTCGATTAGTTTAGTCAGCAGATGTGTTCGGAATGAAGCAATATATATACATAAATATTCAGATGTGTTAATTGCATCGACTCGAATATAAAGAACATTGCGACGACACAAAAATGAAGAACGTGAATGGTATGAAAAACAAAACGAAAACGAATATTCATGTTTCAAAATTTATCTGACTGAGCATGTGTGCTCGAACAAATCACACAGGAAGTGTAAATGCTGATTGAAACTGGTACTAATATGCACACAATTTGAACGTAAACTGTAGATTGAATCCAGCAATTGGCTTATAATATTTTAACAACGAATGGACAGGAAATTTATGACTGTTTCCGCCTTCATCGGCGCGCTGTCGAACATCAGAGGCCATACTTTCAAAATTCGTTAAGTGAACGTAAGTACTTACGCTCTATTTTCTTGTCTATGATTGGTGGAGTTTGCTTGAAAGGCCGTCAATGATTGGCGGATGACCGTACGATCTCTTAACTTTTTTGAAAGTATAGGCCCTGCTCATTAAGCCAGTATATAGTACAATCTTTATAACAATCATTTTAACATAAGTTTGCTTACGTTAAATTGATCTGCCATTAGGTGCTGGTTATTCGGAGTATAGATAATGGAAGACTAAACAAGCATAAAATATATCAGTCCGCTTTAAATAAAAGTTTCATGCACTTGACGTCCCTTTCAATTAAAAATCCAAGCGGATTACATTAGTTGTGTTATAATTATATATATCATTATATTATATAATTATATATTATTATATTAAAGGTTGTATTTCTGTTCTCCGTCATTTAGAGCACTATAAATGCTTGCGATTGTGGGTTTCCGTTTATGCCATCGGGGAGATAACCTCGATAACAAATCTTGTTCATGACATTTCCTTCTTTTTCCCTCACAGGGCAGTAAAGCGGAGACACTCGATGAACTTTGTTTCACTTTCCGCTGCTTTTAATGATCTACGCCAAATCGTCTCAAGCTGGAAACAGTGATATGAAAGATCTTGGTTTATGAAAGTCTTAAATTCAGAGCATGAGACCATTAAAATTGTCCAACAGTTAGGACCAACAAATGTTTCAAGATGAATCGCAGACAGTTGATTTCTTAAACATTGCCTAGAAATAACTTAAGATACGGACCACGAATGGTTAAATTTGAGTATTTGAGCCTTATAGTTATAATAAGAAACAATTTGCAAATGTACTATGGGCTGCGAAATCATTTAGGAAAATATATTGGAAAGAAACACGAAATTTTAACTGATCTTAATACATTTTATTAACAGATAAAAACTACCCAAATCTTCATTTCAGCATGACGTCAAATAAAAGTTTTATAATGCATGATGGTCAAATCTTACTTGTATTGTACTTAACAAATTTACTTGTCTAGCAAGAGGAACTGCCAGAAAATGCACCAATGGGCCAAGCTACTGTACAGTTCAATCAAGGGGAAAATAGAGTGCAGGCATATGAAATTAAATCAAAATTTTATGCGAAACCAACGTAATCGCCGATGGGAATCGTCCGCGATAATTACTGATGAAAACAATGCTGCTTAAATATGTTGGAACTTACAAATCTGATTAATAATAGTATACAATTAATGTGCTTCAAGCTTTCGGCGTCGGGTAGAACCAAACTGTTAATTCAGGTAAGAAAAATTATTTCTAAAGAGTTCTTATTGAAAATATGGTACCTCAATATTTATTTTTAAAGAGACCACTTTGCAATAGAATGTGATCATTATTTTTTAAATATCGTTGACGTTTTTTTGGATTCGAACGTTTCAAACCGAATGCAACAGCACATGAGCGCGACGCGTGTCGAGTGACGCGGTTCCCAGTTCGACCGTCGACGTTGCCTGATAGCCATACGAAAATAAGCAAGAGGAAGATGACCTGTTTCCGTGACTTCCTCAGGTTGAGCGAAGGGGAAGAAATGCCACACTGTGATAAAAAACGGAAACAGTGTCAAGGTAATCAAACACAGGGAAAGAAAAGTGTCAAAATGTTCCAAAGAGAGGGAAAAATATAACGTGTTCAATTTGGCTAATTATCGTCAAGCCAGATAAATGCACAGTACATAAGATAATTTTCTTTTTCTAACCAACTACTTATAGCTTCATTAATTTGGAGGTATTAGTCTGTTTTTGAACAATAGAATTTCTGGTATATTTCTGGTATTTTGGGCTAGGCAATCTGGTATTCTCGCCAAGAAAAAACCTGGCAACACTGTGATAGCCTGAGCTTGCCTCAGTGCCCTATAGCATGGAGTGGAGTGAGGTGCATGATGTGCGAGTTGTGACCGTAGGGAAGTGATCTGTCTCATCGCTGTATTTTGATGTCACTATGAGTGCAGTGATTGATCTTTCGAAGCTTTCTGTGAATCAAAAAGATGTGCTCATCAGTAATCTTATTGGCGAACGAGATATTATTAGGAAAAACTTACAGAAGGTTGAACAAGAACGTGATGCTCTGCTTTGCGAAGTCAATCGGCTCAAGTTTGAACTTCAAATATCGGACATAAAGCGCCTGGGCGAAGATGATAAATTCGATTCCAGGTAAGTTTCAGGCTGTTAAATTGGCTTTAGCTTCCGACAACCATTATTTTTCTGTCTGTCGGTTACTTTTTTGAACTGAAAATAAGCGTCGTCTTTGGACAGGTGATATGGGTATTGAAGGAAGGACATAATCGCGGAGGCAGCTCCTGGTGGGCAGGGGGCGTCGGGTCTTAAAACCTTGCTCACATCAACGGTTCGGTCGTTCCAATGACGCTTATAACCGCAGAGACCTTAAATTCAGATTTTACGAAATTTTCAATAGTTTGGTTGGAAAATTTATAGTTCCAGTTTCGTTCGTTCAGGCGACTTTGGTCTGGGGGAAAATCTGATTGAATGATGCTAACTAATCATATGAACCGTCAGCTGTAATTTTTAGTTTTTCTTAATTAAATAGCCTGTATAATAATCCTCTATTATAAATCGTAATGGTTTGACGTCTTGCGATCAGGAACTGAAAAACCGATGGATGGCTTTTAGAGTTTGAATTTCAATACATTAGCTAGCCTATTTTTTATGTAAAAAATACGAATATTTAGCTAGACTGGAATAGTCTCCGAATTTCGCAATGACCTCCGACAAAGTCATTGAATCTAGAACTTAGTAGAAGCTATTCTGTTGGTTTGTGAAGAGTGAAGACACATGACGTATTTAATTCTAATTCTAAACACGTTCATGCTCTTCAATTGTCCTTCATTTACTGACACGTTGCCTCAGATTTAATCTTGCCTGGCCGTAGAAATTCTTCATAACATTGACCTTAACTACTAATTCTCTGTTTGAAAGATATTTTTCGCGACTATTCAATTATTTCCAGCGTGACCAACGTTTTGAAGTATTCAACAGTCACTGAAATCGTGACACTTATATACCGTACTTGCGTATCTTCGATAAACCTTTTTGATCCATAAATTTGTGTATGTTCGAAGTGCTAAAGTAAGTAGAATATTGGGCGTTAGTTCCTCTATAAGGTGTTTTTCTCTACGCAAATACGATTAAACGGCAAACAAATATTAAAAGTACGATTTATAAACTGGAGCTTTAGATGAAGACTGAATCACTATTGCTAGAAAATTGTATTCAATGGGTCTAATAGTTAGGACAATTTTAGTCCTGAATGATCCGTATAATGAGTAACAATTTTCCCCATCCCTGTTGTGATCAGCTAGGCGATTTACCATGCAGGCATACGTAACCGTGCGTAAGGTGCAGTCATGCTGTGACCTTCAAGGGATTGTCGTGCGGAGCTGGCCCCGTCCCGTTTGTGGACGCCGAACTTGTAGTTTTTTTTGTGTGTTTTTTCCGATTTTCCCTTAGTGGGGAAGATCGAAAATTTTGTGGGACAGAAAGAGAAGATGTAAGCTTTTTGTATTTTTTTTTTCGATTTTCCCTTAGTGGGTAAGATCACAAATTTTGTGGGACAGAAAGAGAAAATGTAAGCTTTTTGTATTTTTTTTTTTTCGATTTTCCCTTATAGTGGGGAAGATAAAAAAATTTTGTGGGACAGAAAGAGAAGATGTAGGTAAGCTTTTTGTATTTTTTTCGATTTTCCCTTGGTGGGGAAGATCGAAAATTTTGTGGGACAGAAAGAAAAGAAGAAAAATTGTGTGAGATAGCGGCGTGTTGCCATCTACGCTACATTATCTCCAAGGAATAGGTTAAGTATATGAATGTTAGCATTTGTTTCATCACTTTCATGCTACAGTGGCTGATGTCGCCATAACAGCGCTGATTTATTTTGCACTGTCTTGTTGGTTGCATGTCGCCACTCGGGTCACATTTCTCTCTCTCTCTCTCTCTCTCTCTCGCCTTCGTGTAATTGTAAATAATTTGGCCTGGAAACTGGTAAACTATTAGGTTTTAGGCATTTTTGCCTAAAATCTCCGTTGAATCTGATGAAATTTCATTTGAATAACACGAACTACGTACTGGAAAAACACGAATAACAGAAGCAGCGTGCAAAATTTGATCAGAAATTACTCCTGGAATCAAATATATTCTCGAAAGATATCATCAGGTAATGTTTTGCAGTGGGTGTGTATGGTCAGGAATGCACATGCGTCTGGGCTATTCCTTCGCAGGGTAAACTATTCGTTGAAATTTTGTACACCAAGTTCTCGTCGCTGGCCGCGGAGGTGACAGAATTACCTTGCTGTAGGCTCCGCCAAATAACAATCTGTCTCGTAATTTTTTCTCTCGGGAGTGAGCAAATCGCAGCTGGTGTTTCAAGGCTGGCGATGTCTGTCGCTGCTCTCTCTCCCCGCTCCCGCTGATTTAACCACGCGGTTGTGCCCTTATAAAGCCACACTTTCCTTGCGTTCCAGTTATACCCTACAGAACCGTCGCACCTGCCACCATTGCTCAGCATAAAAACGAAAGGTCTTGCACGCGAAGTGTGCTGTGACCAAACACTAAAATAAATAATCAAAAACAAATAATCTAAAATAACCTAACCTTATACATACTGATCTACTGGTGGCGAGAAAGAGAAGCAGGTTTTTCTTGAATCATCAATGATTAATAAATTGTTATTTTCGTTCTAATTTCCATCCGGTAGCACGCTGCAACTTTTATCAATTCTATTGAGGGAAGCAGGAGTGACGTTGCCGTGAGGTAAATACTTCTATCCATCTTCTTATGGGAAGTGTTGATCTGTTGCTTCGTTTTAGATTATAAACGGATCCATTTGTCGCAAGACGCAAGCGAATATTTCTTATCTTTCAAGCTTCACATTCTGTTGAAATCTCGTTATTTCTAAAGAGATTTTACAATTTTCGAAGCTTTTTACTGTTCGATTTGCATTATACTGAAATAAAAACATTTACATTTAATGTAGTATATTCACATATGCTCTAATCCTCGGTATGACACCAAGTTAAGAATGCTGGTTTGACAAGGCACCTGTAATCCTATAGTCGTAGGATTACATCTGGCTCGACGTAGGATCTGGCTCGAGCTGTTATTCGTGGCTGCGGTGGCTCTACCTGCCGGCGACCTTGGCAGTCTCGTCCTGCGGGAGCAGCTGGGACTTTGGTCAGATTTCGGCTCGATGTCTCGTGTAGCCCGCACGCTTCTACGTCTTCTGGGTGCTGGTGTTTCTGCATGCTGCGTTTACCCATGCTGCTCTTTATTCGGGCTTCTGGAATTCTAACTTCTGTTCATGTTTTACGTCTTCTGGATGCTGGTGTTTCTGACTGCTGCAATTGCCCATACTGCGCTTTATTCGAGCTTCTGGAGTTCTGACTTCTGGGCATGTTTTACGTTTTCTTGGTGTTATATCTGCATACTGCATTAACCCATGCTGCTCTTTATTCGAGCTGCTGATATTCCTACTTCTGGGCATGTTTCACGTCTTCGGGGTGCTAT